AGAGGTAAAAGTACATGATAATTAATTCGATTTTTTGATGGGAAAAGCGCCTGAAGCGCTCTTTAGCTTCAACGAGAATGTTTGCAAACATCGTAGGTTTTGCGTTGGTTTTGAAAAATTGTTGTTGAGAAATGTAGCACTGGAATAATTTGGACATTTTTATGTCCATATTTGAAGCTCAGCCACATATGCAGATGTATCATCTGTCTATATTATAGATTTATGACATTTTTGTGTAAAAAGCAGTATAAAAGCGAATATGTACCTTATCGAAGTCAGCTGGTAGATAGGTGCCGACTTCGGATGGTTTGGTGTACGTACCCAGGCCCAGATGCATATGTTGGTCATCCGTTAAGAAGTGACTCGAACATCCTCGGCCAATGCCTATAAACTTTACTTCTTTAATTCAACATATATATGCGTGTGAATCAGAAACATAGTATCCATGGTTGTGTTTAGTTACACCTCATCAAAACAAGCCAATCCGCTTCTTTTGCTTTTTCCCCATAATTATTCTAGCCTAAGAAAATATGCAGATACCATGTATAATCTTATTTGTTTTGAGAAGTTTTATATATACAGCATAGTACGTACTCTCTTCACGGTCCTCTAAAATGAGAGAAGAAACACAAAGCGAGTTTTCTGTGCCTTTTGAAATGCTAGTAACTGTGGAAATACACTGCCTGAAATATTTGGTGGAGATAACCCTTTAAGCCTACATTCCAGTTGATCACAAGTTATTTGCATTTAGGTTCGGAAACAACCGTTGAACCGTGTTGGTAGATGGTTGGATTTTTTAAAATGTTTGTATCAATGATTTGGTTCCACTCACCAAGAGTCCTAGTTATGCCTGTTTCTCTGTTTGTTCCATTTAAAGAGAAGATAAAACAAGTCGAGTGACAATTTTGCGTAGAGTCCGGTTTATAATCTCTGGAACAACTTGTGTTAACTTTATCAGTCTTGAGTAATTACAAACTCCACTACGTTCTGAGATTTGTAAACCAATATGTAGCCATAATATTAACTCACCGAAGTACACATTCCTGGTCACTGGAAGCCAGAGCGTAATTCCTCTTCAAGAAAAAGTGGCGCCACTGCTAAACATATATCAGTACCTTAGAAAATCTCTACAACAACGATGTTAAAAGAATGTTTTCATAACGATAAATAACCAAATTTGATTGAATCAAAAGTGCTTGCTGGACTCTCATTAAGAGAAGACGATTCATTTGTTCAAAGTTCTATCTCAATGTTTGCACTCTTCAAAAAAAAATTCTGAACATTCCAGGCTTCTTTGATTTATTGGACACGATAATTAGTTTTTTCTTAGTTGTTTGATCCCTTGTTAAGTGAGAACGCCGAGTTTATTGAGATTTTTGGATTTTGTAAAACCATAACATCGCCTGAGTTTGATCAGACTTAATTGGTATGGGTAGAGTCTTCTTCGGCAATTAATTTAGTCGCAATCATACCATACTATATGGCTACTGCTGTATGTGAGAAAAAAAACGCTGATAGCTCGAGTCTGAGCTCTTCTCATAATCTTGAGCATACAGTATCGATATTATTCTTGTAATCCACGATTATCAGCATTTCGTTGCTCTTAAGCTTTTTTGAAGCGGAAGCGAGCTAAATCTAGGATAATCTGAAATGATTCGCAAAGTCACTAAGAGCAAATTCCTGAAGCGACAAAGGCTCATAAGTAGCTGTCCGAAAGCGATCACCTATAAGTAAAGGTGCTAAATTGTGAATTTCCATCGCCAATTTTTGGACCAGTCTGTAGATCATCTCTAAATAACCGTTTTTGCTTGGAGTTGAAACGTGAAGGGAAACTGTAATGCTTTGAATCGAAGAAGCTCACATTTAATATGTGAAAATATCATAAATATAAATTAATTTATATCAATGCTCTTAAAGCTTCTGA